TAGTGATAATTACTGTGTTTAACCAGAAGTGGCATCTAAGCTCTGCGGGGTCAGGCTGGGCGGGGTGGCGGGGGGTTTCTCTGGAGGTCAGGACTGCACAGCCTACGTCATCTGAGTCAACAGGACGTTAAATCAACTCCTAGCTGAGCAGAAGAAACTAGATCGCAGACAGATCCCTCCATCCGCCCTCTCGCCCCTTTCACCTTTGTCCCCCTTCTCCTCCTCCGACACAGTCTCAAACCCGAAATGTGTTTCCGTTGCCTGCTTCTCTTGGGACAAGTGCCGCACACCCAGCGGGCCCCTAGGCCAGGAGCTACGAAACCCGGGGAGCCGGCAGCACCGCATCACCCGCGACCACCTACGACCGCAGTAGCTCCATAGAGCGTAGCTCCTGTGGGTCGCCATCTTGGCAGTAGAGTGACAGCGCCGGGACAGTACGTAGGGTTGCATCACTAGAGGGCCAACGGCGGCCGGTAGGAGACATTATTAGCCGAACGCGTCCTGAAACCCTTTCTTAGGGAGCTATGTGTATGACCTCTGGGATCTAGAGGTTGCTTAGTTTTTGAGTACTGGAAATCCCTTCTTCTCCCAATTCCCGCTTTGAATATAGAATTCACCAGAATGAAGGGTCCTTAGGATAAGGCCACAATCACTTTCCAGCGGCCATATCCCTGAATATTTTCAACCAGCCGCATGAAAGCTAACTCGCAAGATATCCTGTAACTCTTGCTTTCTGGTGCAGAAGTAGGAAACTGAAGTATATGGTGTGGTTACAAGGCAGAGATAACAAGGTCGATTCTCTTAAACTTTGATGGGCCTAAGAATCACTGGTTTCAGCTTTAAAATGCAGATTCAGGTGGCCGCCAGGTTGGCTCAGTGGATTAAACCTTTGACTTTCGATTTCGCTCAAGTCATGATATTAGGGTGGGAGGATCAAGCCCCCATAGGGCTCCATGCTGGACGTAGAGTCTGCTTGGGATTTTCTCTCTCTCTCTTCTCTCGAAAAGAAAAGAAAAAAAAAAAGCAGATTCTTGGGCCAAATATCAAGAGATTTTGAATCCATACATTAGGGATAGGCATTGGGAATCTTCATTGAACAAACTTCTGTGGTGATTCATTCATTCATTCATTCATTCTTTCTTTCTTTTCTTCCTCATTTTTTTCCCCCTCGAGGTTTATATCTTGGGGGATAGGCACAGGGAGAGGGAGAGAAAGAATCCAAAGCAGGCTCCACCCCCAGGGCAGAGTCATTCATCCAGGGGTGGATCTCAGGACTCTGAGATCCTGACCTGAGCCAAAACCAGGAGTGGAATACTCAACCCACTGAGCCACCCAGGAGATCCACAGACTTATGTGGTGATTCTGATGCAAGGAATTTGCAGACCATTCTTGAGAAACATGTGCTAGATGACTCTGAAAAATAAATGTACAAAAGGCTGTTCTTTGGTCTTTATATTTTATGTACCTAAGTAGTTTATAAATGGAAAGGAAAGCTCTAGTGTCTATTTAGTGAGTCAGACCCAATCACCACTCATCCTCCCTCTTCTGCTGTCACAAAGCTACACTTCTAGTGCCAACTGGCATAGCATGTATATTTACTTCAACCCCAGATTTTCGTGGTTTTTTTTTTTTTTTATGGAAAGGGTAATGTAGACCATCTTGCGCAAAAGAGGATGGAGGTGGTAAGTTTTGCTTGGATTTCTATATGTTTCTGCTTTGATTCTTTTTTAAAATATATGTTGCCTGTAAATATTTCACAAGGAGAAAGCGCCAAGGACCCTAAGAAACTATTTTAAAAATGAAAAATCTCTTCCTGGTTTAATGTGTAGTCTGACAGATGGACACCTACTACTTTCTTTTGGAAGAGCTAATGGGTTTTTCTTCTTTCCCTCTCTTTTATTTTTAAAAGTGATAGAAAGAAGGAATGATTCATTCACGTAATTAGAGTTCTCACATCATTGTTAAGGGAAATAAAAATTCATCAAGGAAACTTAGTATGTCTTCCATATCTAGTGATACATAAGAATGGACCTCAGGCTTTGGGGCTGTTCCTTCTAGACATCAAAGTTAGGTTCCAAACCAACATTATGTATTTGTTCTCATTTCAATATGACTTGTGGAGGAAAAGCCTGCAAGAGGTGAAGCAGGGCAAGGAATGATGAAGGCCATTTTAAGGAAATTTTAAAATGTGAAATTAATATCTAATTTTCCCTATTCCAGTTAAAACTGTTAATTTCAAGAAACTGACTTATACATACATTACTTATTAATGTTTTGTATTGCATGCGATGATGGATAAGGAGGTGAAAAGGACTCAATTAGGGGAATTCTAGGATTTTCCACTCATCCTTCTATGCTCAGTTCAAGTGACACCTCTCTGGGAAGCCCTTCACTACCCTCCCACCCCCAACTGTTTGTATACCTCTCCTTGGAGCTTTTGCTATAGTCAGCATTTTGTGTTAATTTTATTATAGCTTTTGTTACTATCTTCCCTTGTAGTTTTTCTTCCCTATTCTCTCCCTCCCTCCCTCTTTCCTTTCTTTTGGGTGAATGATATGTTAGTCAGTTTTGTTTACAAGTGAAACTCTGGGAATTCAAAATTAACATCCTTGCTAGTGAGCTTGTTACAGACAGCAGGAAAAGCTTCACCCTTGTGTTCCACATTGTTCCGCTATGTTTTATCCAAATGAACTTTTGTGAGTTGGCTGCCATCCAGTTTTACATGGATTCTCTTGCCCATAATTTTACTTGGGAAGACTAAGCCCTCCAGGGTAGTTTGTTTGTTTATTTATTTATTTATTTATCAAAAAAGATTTTTAAATTTATTTGACAGACAGAGATCACAAGTAGGCAGAGAGGCAGGCAGAGAGAGAAAGGGGGAAGCAGGCGCCCCACTGAGTAGGGAGCCCGATGTGGGGATGTGGCACTCGATCCCAGGACCCCGGGATCATGACCCAAGCTGAAGGCAGAGGCCCCAACACACTGAGCCACCCAGGCGCCCCAGCCCTCCAGGATTGTATCATGCACAACTGTCAAAGTTGAACACTTGCTTATTTTTTTTTCATAGCTTTTTTGAGTTGGCTCAGGCAACTCTGGGCGATAAAGACATCACACTTCCCACTGAACTTTTTCTACAGTTTATGAAATATCTGGACTTGGATTTTCTGGAAAGATTTAAATTGAGGAATGGGAACAAAAATTATAGTAGCTTTCTGATCACCAACTTAAGTTTCCTTGTCTGTTGTTATATTCAACTCCCTTAGCTGGGCCTTGAGTTTTGAGTTCATTTGCAGCTGAAGGAGAGCTTAGGAGATGCTAGACTCTTCTGTAGCTGTTGGGCTTCATGATAATTTGGCTCAAACGGAACATGGCCTCTCTCTTTGGTGAGCACTGGCTTAACCACTGTAGTTTCTTATTTGCTTAATTCACTTAGGAAACAATGAGTTTATTTTTTTTTTTTTTAAAGATTTATTTATTTATTTGACAGACAGAAATCACAAGGAGGCAGAGAGGCAGGCAGAGAGAGAGGAGGAAGCAGGCTCCCCGCTGAGCAGAGAGCCCGATGTGGGGCTCGATCCCAGGACCCTGGGATCATGACCTGAGCCGAAGGCAGAGGCTTTAACCCACTGAGCCACCCAGGCGCCCCAACAATGAGTTTATTAAAGGCCTCAATCTGAATATATTTTTGGGTTTCCTTGTGCTCAGCGCAGTGCCTGGCATATAATAGGTTTCTAGCGAGCTGTGGTTAGTCTGAAAAATTACTTGTTCCTCTCTTTAACAGTGTGTGTATGTGATCCTACAAATCTCAAACTGCTATGGTTGAAAGGAATCATTAATAATTTTCTAAAGTACAGATGGCTTTGGTGAGATTTTCTAAGTTTCAGTGTTCATATTTGTAAAATGGAGAACTGCTTATCTCATAGGTGGTTGAGAACACCACTTATTCACTATGTGATGGTGGGTAACTGATCTAAGCTTTTGGAACCAGTTTCCTTGTCTTTAAATTTGAGTTAATGTGAGGATTAAGTGTGGTAATCCATATAACCCACACGACAATGCCTGCTAATGATAAGCACGCAATGATAATCCTATTAACGATGAAATGAAATATTAATAATGACATATATATTTTTTCTTGAGAGAGAGAGAGGGAGAGAAAGCACGTGCAAGTTGGGGAGGGGAGGAGAAGAGTGACAAGGAGACAGAGAATCTTAAGGAGGCTCTGCAAGCCTGGAGACTGAGGTGGGGCTCCATCTCACAACCCCGAAATCATGATGTGCGGGGAAACCAAGAGTCAGTTGCTAAACCCACTGAGCCACCCAGGTGCCCTGACGATGGCTTATATTAATAAATGACGTATTAACAATGAAATGAAGTGCTGTATGACGAAGTGCTGTAAAGTTATATTAAATGTAGGGTTTTGTCATTATTTTTACCCTTATTCTTTTTTTTTTTAATTATTTTTTTTTAAAGATTTTATTTATTTATTTGGCAGACAGAGATCACAAGTAGGCAGAGAAGCAGGCAGAGAGAGAGGAAGAAGCGGACTCCCTGCTGAGCAGAGAGACCAATGCGGGGCTCGATCCCAGGACTCTGGGATCGTGACCTGAGCTGAAGGCAGAGGCTTTAACCCACTGAGCCACCCAGGCGCCCCTACCCTTATTCTTATTGGGAGATAAAATAAGAGCCATAAATAACTTGATATTGATACTAGAATAAGAACTATAAATTAACCAAATAAAAAATTTCCACAGGCATTCCAATGTTTGGATTCGTTATTAGCACTGGTGCATGTTATATTATTATGACTGGTGCATATTATATTATTATGCACATTAGCATACTCGTAATAAAACCTGAACTACAAGTCCCATCATCCTTTCAAAGGCGGGGCGTGGGGGGGGGTTACTGGGCTCAGTATAACTGGGCCCGGATGTAGATAGAAAACTACGTTTCCCAGAGGGCGTCACTCCCACATCGCCACTATATATATAGTCCATCCGGGTTCTTCGAGATGCTGTTTGGCGACTCGTCGCCATTCCCGGAGCACCTCGGCCTCGGCCTAGAGGCGAGTGTCGGTCGCTGTGTCGGAGACACACGTCCCCGACACCAAGACAGCCAACCCTCTCCCCTGCCTCGCGGCGGGAGAGCGTGTCCGGCCGGCCGGCGGGGCTCGCGCACCCTCCCTCGCCTCCCCTTCCCCCGCAGCCTCCGCCCCGCCAGGCCCGGCCCGGACCTCCGAGCCCCGGCCTCCTCCTTCTTCTCTGTCACTACCGCCGCCGCTGGGCTCGACAGCCCCGCCCGCCGCTTCTCTTCACAGTTTGAGAAGCCGAGGAAGGAAACAGGGAAAAATGTCGCCATGAAGGCCGAGAACCGCTGCCGCCGCCGACCCCCGCCGGCCCCGAACGCCATGAGCCTGGGTCCCCGCCGCGCCCGCTCCGCTCCGACCGCCGCCGCCGCCGCCGAGGCCCCCGTTGATGCCGCAGAGCTCCCCCAACGCCGCCGCCACCGCTTCCGACATGGACAAGAACAGCGGCTCCAGCAGCTCCTCCGCCTCTTCGGGCAGCAGCAAAGGGCAACAGCCGCCCCGCTCCGCCTCGGCGGGGCCGGCCGGCGAGTCTAAACCCAAGAGCGGTAAGGGCGGTGGGAGGGAGGGGGGCGACTGTCCCTGCGGCTGGGGAGGATCCTCGCTCTGGTGTCTGCTGGGTCACCCAGGGACAGCCCACTTTTCTATTATCGTTCCCTACCTTTCTCCCCTTTTCCGTCGCTCCAATTATTTAAAAATTAAAACTTGATGGGCACTGTACAGCGTCGTTTACGTGAATCCTTGCATTAACCTTGCATTAATACACGAAACAGATTGGTGAAGTAGGTGCTATTCTTATCCCCATTTTGCGGATGAGGAAACTGAGGTTCAGAAAAGGTAAGGTCACCCAGCCAGTATGTGCCTCACGGCGGGCCTTAAGACCTGGTTGTCTGACTCACTAGTCCAAGCTCCTAAACCACCAAGTTGTTCTGCCCTTTAATGTTGAATTAGCATTGGATGGCTTTCAAGTTTAAACAGTGGAGGGTGGGGCCCAAGGACTTTTCAAACTCAAATTTCATATTTAATAACCTGGTTTCAGATCCATCTCTCTGTTGAACAGGATTCGTCCTCAGATGGCTTTGTTCCCAGTGGAGTAGTGGTTAAGAGCATGGGTTCTGTTTCAGTCTTTTTAGATCTGCCAGACCTTGAGCTTCCAAGTTTCCTTTTCTGTAAATGTGGAGATGATTAGAATTAAATAAATAACTTAGGGAGCAAATGAACTAAGAGCTTAGAAGAATACCTGACACCTATTATCCACCAAATACACATCATGCCTATTTCGCTGTGTAGGTTAGAGGCATTTTACAGGGAAGATTTTTGTCGTTTTCAACGCTTCTCAGTATTATGACCATCATGGTGATGATAGGTACCATTTATTGAGGGCTTACCATGTGCCAGGGATTGGGGTAGGTTTATACCTCTGTTATTTATACTACAATTATTAACCTGTCCAGTATGGTGGAATTGTTCATTTTTTTTTCTTAATTTTATTTTATTTATTTGAGAGAGAGAGATCACAAGTAGAGAGGCAGGCAGAGAGGGGAAAGCAGGCTCCCCGCTGAGCAGAGAGCCTGATGGGGGGCTTGATCATGACCTGAGCTGAAGGCAGAGGCTTAACACACTGAGTCACCCAGGCACCCCGGAATTGTTCATTTCTAAAGAAGGAAAAAGCCAAGAGACCAGGATTTTAGGTGTTCGCAGAGTCTGGAATCGAATGTTCTCCATCTTACTTCAAAAGCCTGTGTACAAATCTCTGCTATTTTGTGCTGTGATTATATCAGCAGGAGTAGGAAGAGGTTTTTAGTGGAAGTGGAGATACGTGGCAGACAGGTGAAGATTTGAAGTCTCCAAATGTGGAGGTCCAGTTTAAAACTTTTTAAGATTTAAAAAACTATAAGGCTTAAATGAAAAGAGAAAAAACACCTGTAAGGCTGACTCGAGTTCAGAATTGATCTGTTGGATATAGCAAACTTGTTTACTTGGTACGCTGAGTGCTTCTAGAAACTGTGGAATTCCAGTGGAGTCCAGTTGTCTTATCGTAAGAGAATGCTTTAAATATCTAAGCAGGGATTAGTGTGGACTTTCAGGCAGTATTATGTAGATTAATTTGGGGTTTTTGCACACGTGTAGCTTTATCACAGATCCCTCTAGAGATAGAGGGTAGCTGGTCCTCTTGGCCAAAACTGCTGGTTTTGTGTGGTCTGAGTATTTTTTTTTTTTTTTAAGATTTTATTTATTTATTTGACAGAGATCACAAGTAGGCAGAAAGGCAGGCAGAGAGAGAGGAGGAACCAGGCTCCCAGCTGAGCAGAGAGCCTGATGCAGGGCTCGATCCCAGGACTCTGGGATCATGACCTGAGCCGAAGGCAGAGGCTTAACCCACTGAGCCACCCAGGCGCCCCTGGTCTGAGTATTTTTTTTTTTTTTTTTTTTAAGATTTTATTTATTTATTTGACAGAGAGAGATCACAAGTAGATGGAGAGGCAGGCAGAGAGAGAGAGAGAGAGAGGGAAGCAGGCTCCCTGCCGAGCAGAGAGCCCGATGCGGGACTCGATCCCAGGACCCTGAGATCATGACCTGAGCCGAAGGCAGCGGCTCAACCCACTGAGCCACCCAGGCGCCCTGGTCTGAGTATTTTTCAGTGTGGTTGATAAATAACTGCTTTTGCACTCTATTCCCAGATGTGAAGATAAAGATGGTGATTTTCTGGCTATCTGGATTGTCAACTAATTTTTCTGGGCTTGCAGTAAATGCCTTGAGTTTATTCTCTAGTGAGGCAGTAGTTAAAGTTTGTGACAATCCAAAGAAGAAAACTGAAGTATTTTAAAGCATTTTACTTACTTTGTCCCTGACTTTGTATATGTTGATTAGAACTAACTCTGATTACCTAAGAGGTTGATAGACACTTCTGTTATAGTTTGACCAGAAAATACTTGTCAGGGTTAATGTTTCAGATAAACTTGAATAGAATACTTATTGTTGGGTTCATTCTGACTAAAGTGATTTTTTTTTATGACAAATACTGTCGAATGCTCTTAAAACACTTGTTCACCTTCTTAATTTAAAGCTTCTGAGGAAGGAAGTAAAAACTCCTGTAAAGGATTTTTTGCTAAGTTTTATAAAATACAGTATGCCCTCTGGTAGCATTAGGTTTTGTTTAGTATGTTAGAAACCTTGTGCATGTTTGCCATTGCCAGTGCCTACTTTCCTGGCTACTGCTGTGTACCGTTAGCAAATAGGTAGGATAGGTTTGTAGCTAAATACAGAGTTATCAGCCATAATCCACTGCATGCATTTAGGAACAGATCAAAGGCAAAATAAGTAGAAATTAAAAGTGGCTTAGGAAACGCTGGATATTAGCTGACTTTTAAGGTTGAACTGAAGAATAGCATAAGCTCCATTAAGAACATCATAGCTAAGACCATGGCAGACGTCATTTAGGACATTAGGACACAGTGATTCTAGGGAGTGGCTCTAACAAGACGGTAGGCCCAAATTCAGCATAATTCCATAAGAGGTTTCTGTAGTATTTCAGAAGCTGACCCAACACTTCATGTACTCGATTCTGCTGGAAACTGTTGAAAGGACCTCTTGAGTTTCAGAGTACTGAGTTGAAGAAAGAAAGGGGAAGTTAGGTGAAAATACGTAACTTGCCTTCTTTTGTCAAAGTAACAAGAATAAGGGTTGTTCAGATTTTAAATATTTAATTCCCATTTCCTCTCTCCTTTCCCTACTTCAGGTGAAAAAAACCCTGTCTGTTCTATTTTCTAAACTGCATGACAGAAATGGTCATTTGCTTCCTAGTTACATGTTTAATACACTTGAGTCTTTGTTCCTGCAGTTGGCTTAAGTTCATGCACGCCGGAAATAGGTAAATTTGGCTCCTGGGATTTACTTGATCTTTTCTGCCAGAGTGGCATACTGCAGTTTCTTTGCTTTGGCTAATTGCTTCAAACATTCACATAACATTCCTTTTCTTAGGTATATTCCTACAGCTTTGTTCCAGTAGTTCTAAGATATAATTCTAAGAACACTTAACAGTGAATAGCCTAGGAATATGGCCCAGAGGAGAAAGGTGGTTTAGGGTTTGGGGAAAGTCATTTAGAAGGAGCAAAGAAAGTAAAAAGAGTCTTTTTAGAGAGAGAGGTTATGCAGTTTATGGACAAACAATGGACCCTGGCCCAGAACCAGGCTCTTGCCCCATTCCCCTGGTGGGGGATGATACTACCATGGAGGTTAAGGGAAGGTCAGGTATTATGAAGCAGTTATTTTGAGGTTGGTGATACGAAGCACTATCCTGACACACTTCCTCTTATTCCGGTACCAGGAGCCAGATTACTAGTGGTAATCTGCCTTGAAGAATGCTTCTGGGCTGTAAATGGACCTGGAGATTTTTGATGGCTTTGAAAATTGAGGTGACTTGAGCCTTTAATAAAAACCACTTAGAGAAGTCATAAGAATTTCCAGGCCTTTTGGCTGGAGTCCTTGGTTTATATGGCTTTGTTGGAAGTCTGGGGGTGCTTTTGACAAGAATGATTTAGATATATTAATAATAGTAGTCTTCCAAATAATAATGGCAACTTCGTGCTAACCACTGTGGTAGGCATTTTACAGAAGTTTTCCCTTAATCTTCATGACATTATGAGGAGGTGGGGTAGAGGATAAGCCTCGGATCATGGACAAGAAAACTGAGGCTTTAGAGGGGGGTGAGAGTGATTTGTTCAAGTGTTTTTTTTTTTTTTAAGAGAGGGGGAGATGGGGAAGGCTGGGGGGGAGGGGCAGAGGGAGAGAGAATTTTTTTTTTAAGATTTTATTTATTTATTTGAGAGAGAGACAGTGAGAGAGAGCATGAGAGAGAGCATAAGAGAGAGAGAGAAGGTCAGGGAGAAGCAGACTCTCCATGGATATGGGAGCCTAATATGAGACTTGATCCAAGGACTCTGGGATCATGACCTGAGCCGAAGGCAGTTGCTTAACCAACTGAATCACCCAGGCACCTGAGGTTTTTTGCTTTTTCTTTTTTTTTTTAATCCATCCATACTTCCTTCCTTCCTTCTTTTTAAAAAGAATTTCTTTATTTGACAGACAAAGCGAGAGAGGGAACAGAAACGGAGGAGTGGGAGAAGGAGAAGCAGGCGTCCCGCTGAGCAGGGAGCCCAGTGTGGGGCTCAATCCCATGACCCTGGGATCATGACCTTAGCCAAAGGCAGACACTTAATGACTGAGCCACCCAGGCACCCTGAGAGAATCTTTAGCAGGCTCTGTGCCCAGTGTGGAGCCCAACATGGGGCTCGATCACACCCCTGAGATCATGACCTGAGCTGAAATCAGGAGTCCGATGTTTGACCTACTGACCCACGCAGGTGCCTCTCAAGTGAATTCTTAAGAGGTCCTAGGCAGGGGCACCCGGGTGGCTCCGTCGGGTTAAGTGTCTGCCTATGGCTCAGGTCATGATCCCAGGGTCCTGAGCAGGGAGCCAGGTTTTCCCTCACCCTTTGCTGCTCCCCCTGCTTAGGCTCTCTCTCTCTGTCAGATAAATAAATAAAAT